TTTCAGGGTAAAACTGTTCTTCCTATGTTTTGTATATCTTTCCTATTTGAATTTCCAGAATGCATATACATAAACATATAATGAAAATTGGTTCCCTTAACTATGTGAGAAGAGAGAAAAGTAAAATCTTAATTTAGTAGAAAAACCCATATTTCATGGTTTCCACATTCCTGGAAATTAATGTTTCATGGCTATGTTACTTCCACAGTAAAATAGTAAAGCTTTTCTGGTGACATAATGAACCTCAAGAGTAAAGAAACACAAGCCCTTCAGGAGCTTAAATGCATGAGATTGCTGCAGACTTAATAATATTTTGATTTCCTCTTTTTCCAAGGTATATTTTAATTCAAGAACTCCAAGTCAACTAGTTCAGGCCATCCTTAAATTTTCCTTAACTTGGGGAAGGGCCATTGTTGGCTTAAAAGTTCAGGCTCTCTGCACTTTACCATAGTATATAAAAATGATTCACAAATTTCAAAGAGAAGATCTTGCTTAGAAATCATCTATGTATCAGTTACTCTTTGATGCTCTGCCTCAACTTCCAGGTTATTTAAACCATTAATTTAAAGAACGATCATCTGACTGCAGAGGGAGTTTCAATCCCATTTGTTTGGTGCTCATTTAAGACTTGTTCCCGATCTTGATGTCACCAGAAATTTAATCCAAGATCAAGCCCCTGTCTGAGACAAGGTTCACAGAACACTGAGGGTCCTTCAAGCTCAAGTGCTTGGGAAATGCCCAATCTGTCCTTCAATGAGACATTTCTCCCAGGCAACCACTACTCAAGTAAAAGCTTGGCCAAAGCACAGTAAATCCTGATTCTGCTGTGCCACCACCACTATGCTGTCCCCAGGTCAGGTCCACTGCTCCTGCTTACCTTTGTTAATGACTACAAGCCTTCCTGCAAAAGAGATGTAGCCCCCAAATGCTACTGCAACCCAACAAAATGTAGGGGAGCAATTGTTCCAGCTTTCTGAGGAGCCATCCCAGCCGTGCAGCTCCAGCAACCACCAGAGCTCAAGCTGTTTGTGTTCCTAAGGCAACTCAGGCATTCCAAATGGACTGAAACAGGAGCCTCCTCTCTCTCCAGTGGCTGTGCAATGACAGCCCACCCTTGTTACGACCAGTTCAGCATCTTCACTGTTAAACAAAAGTTCAGTGTGATCTGAGCAGATCAAAACTGGAAGAAGGCATGGACTTGGATAACCAAACACCCACTAAAAATCAAAGTCATAGTACCAGGACATTGCATTGATGGGAGCAATATATCCCTGCCTAATGCCAACTGGCAAAGGCTTTACCAGTTATTCCACTGAGTGCCTGAGTACCTTTGTGCCATCCACTCATTTTTCCCATTCTCTTAATCCAGACTCCCCAGAGCGTTTACAATGGCATATCAGCCAGTAGGGCTGTCCAGAGGAACTTGACTCTTACATGTAATTAAAACCAGTTGTGCTGCGTCCCATCGTTCTTCTCTTCCTTTGATGCTTCTTCCTACTAGCCAAGAAAATCCTGCCTCCACTTGCCAAAAGTGATTTGTTCTCTGTGGACATCACCACATCTCACTGAAGTAAAGCAGAGTACCTTTGATTTTAAGAGGAGGTAATTCTGTTTATCTGAGAGCAGTAACAACATGCTGTATTTCAGACATAGAGGTTAATACCTGTCTTTTCCAAATGATGTCAAGTAGGCACTCCCAGGCCATTGTACCAAACAAAGCTCACATTCTCATCATCACCATAAATAACAATATTTATATGGCACTATACATCCCTAGGCCTTGAAACATGGGTTTTTTTTCTTTCAGGATAAGGAAACTGAGGCACAGAAGGGTGATCTGGGCAGCATTACAGCTTTACCCAAGTGGTGGCTGTGAGTGATTAATACCTGTACAAACCAGGCCACTAAAGGAACTACAGAATGTTTTTCAGGCAGACATAAACTGATTCTGGTTGTGCTTGGAGCAGATTAAAACAGCACAGTAATGGTTAGCCTGCTTACTAGGCCAACCTGGAATGTTGTCCAGAGAAGGCTCAGGCTGAACATTGTGCTCATGAACATAAACAGCTTCTGGTCCTTTCAAAGCACTGGAAGAACAACCCAGTGTATGCCTGCAGGAAAAAAACAAAACAAAAACAAAAAAAAAACAAACAAAAACACAAACAAAAAACACAAACAAACAAACAAAAAACAAACAAAAAAAACCCAGAAAATTGGTGAAAAGTCTCTCTTCCCTGTATCTCTCTTCCAAGAAATGTTGAATTTGCAGGCATTTCAGCCTGTTGTGGTATTTTCAGACTCCTTAAACAAAGGTTTTTAGAGGCATTTGAAGATGCAGAAGTCCTCTGAGTTCACTGTGGCTTAGCGGAAACCTTTTGGTGTCTTTGGATGCCTGTAAGTCTCTGAAGATCTCATGTACAGGAATCTCAGCTTCACACAAGACTACATTTTCAGAATTTTCCAGGAGACCAGATTTGAAGGCAGTTAAGTGCCTGCCAGTGGCAGTGGGCATCTAGAGGTATTTCTGAAGCATTTGGCCAATTCAATCAAAGTTTAGCACTAGAATGTCTTTGCAAACCCTTCAGGGGAATGCAGGCATCTTAGGTACAAATAATCTCACTTGATCTAGGACACGTAAATATAGATGGCTCATCTAAGGTAATTGTCTAGGCTCTCTCTGCAGTCAGTGGAGAAGAACACTCATTCATCCCATTCTAAACAGGTGTATTATAGATCCAAGCAATAAAAAAGTCCTTCTGAAAGCTCCATTCAACTGTGCCACTTCACAGGGACTTGAACTGATTTGTGGGTACATTATGCCTGATTTTGCCCCTCTCCCTAACCTCTGACAATGCCCTGTGACCGTAAAATCCCGATTCAGAGGCTGCCACTTCCAGATCTGTAGCAGACTCACAGTGTCACTCATGCCACAGGTGCTGCCAAGCCTCTGCCAAGTGGTACCCAACTCTTTCTGAGCAGCCTTCCGTGTGCAGATGCAGCCTGACACTGCTGGGAGCAGCTTCAGTTCCTGCTGCCATGACTGCTGGGGCAATACTAGAGGGGAAGTCCTCCCACACTCGTCCCATAACAGAGAAACACACAGCATCATCAAGTCAAAAATCACAGATCTTAGTTTGGAAGATTCCCCTCTGGATGTACATACATGGTTAGCCATTTTACACATGGATACAGATATATGTGGAATATATGCAGTTTGTATTGGCCAAGGTGACCTGGGGTCCATGGAATATGTGTGGCTTGCCAGCTTTTCACAAGGCATCTGCTGCAGTGGAACAGGGACAGCTGTGTAATCTGGATCCCCAGCCACACCAAGAAACTGTTTGCCAAGGGAACTGTTGCTGGATCAGCACTGGATGTCATCTGCTCAGCCTGGCTCCAACCCAGGACTCCATGGCAAATCCCTTGGGTGACACCTGCCATGTCTCGCTTGTAAAACCCACTCAGATCTGTCCCAGCCTCTTTGAATTAATGCTGCTTGTATCTTAAGCCTCTCAATCATGTGAGGATTTTGTAATGTGCTACACAGGATCATCTAAAATGACCTGAGGACCTTGTGGCTCCCTTCTCTATGGCTGCACATGATCACAGGGCGCTCCAGGGGTGAGATGCTTCTTGCCTAATTTGGACATCTAAGAGATACTTGTATGAGCTTAAGGTAATTGTCAGGACTTCCCATGATTGTCAGTGGGGAGAGATCAGCTCCTCCCAGAAGGCTTCTTCCCTCCTGCAATGGTTATCCCATATACTCAACTGTAGAAGAAGCCTACAGGACTGTCTTAGGTCCAGACAAGTAATACTTGAGTGTTTAAAGGAGGTGAGATGAATTTCAGCTCCAGTGTATGGGAATTCCTTGACCCTGCTGTGAGACCAGTCTTCAGTGCATTCTGTTCTTTCTCCCACAGATGCAGAACTCAGAACTGCAGCCCCAGCTGTAAAAATCTTACAACTCTGAAAGCCTCTTCAGAGGTCCAAAGTGAAGGTTGTTGGCAGTGACTCCATCTTGGAGCTTTTAGCATTTTCCTTTCAGAAGGTACAGGGACCGAAACTCCTGAGAACTCTGTGGAGTACAAAATCACACTGATATTTGGCTGATACCTCCCTCAGATAGACATGATGAGTTTCCCGAGGGGTGCTTTTTGCACTCTGGATTTATCAGTTTACCAATGAACCAGGGCTGACCTTCTGTTGGGTCTTATTAAATAACACTCTGATTTTATTTATGGATCAGCATGTGAGTGCATTGCTAAATAAACAAGTGACTTCTCCTAAAATGAGGGTACCATTGGCCAACTCTTAAAAATCCAACCCATAAAATAAACAGACTCCAGGAGTTACCTGTTACTCCTGGCACTGCAGTAACTTCAAGGTAACAAGAAGTCAATAAACCCCCATCAACAAAATCCCCACTGGGATCCTGGCAACTGAGACTCTGAAGCAGCAATCATGAAGAGAAACTAAGTGATTCAGTAAAACATTAAAGTTCCCAGAGGAACCATATTTGGGCTGCCTTGATTTGGTGAGAGAGGCAGCCCTGACCACTTAGCAAAGGCAAAATGAGGGCCATTGAGGAGGCTCCTGTTGGATGGTGTCTGTAGAGCCACTGATGTGGTCACAGCCTGTGATTAGGCTGTATTTCATCCCTGACTGTCTGGATGCCAAGGCAGAAGGACCCTGAGCAGAGAGTATTTTCTCACCCCTAACCCAAGTCATTTCACTGCTTGGATAGGATTCTCTATTCTCAGACTTGTAGATCCCCAGTTGATGTCTGGTAGTGCCTTCAGTTTGCAGCATGCAACAATTCTGATCTCCTTAGGCAGAGAAAACCCTTGGCCCTAATGTAGATGAGACCAGGAACTAATAATCTCTTTTTTTGGCTCTTTCAGCACAGGCAGCATTATCCTGTCTCCATCAACAGACTGCAATCTCTACATCAAGGAGAGAAATATCACCTGACAAAAGATGGCTGAGCACATCGTGGTGATCCAAACCAGCCATACAACAGCCAGGACAGGTGTGTGTACCAAACAGAAAGGATTTAGGAACAAGTGGACTGCTTTCCATCACTGCCTTCTCAGGTAGATATATCTGCTTACAGATCAGGCTTTTATGTCCTCCAGCATTTCAGCATCAGAGCAGGCTGTAATAATTAGTGTATACATGGATCCTTTCCACCCCACTGGCAGGTGGGGAAGGACTAGGTAGCTTCATTGCATCTATGGGAGCCCCAAAAAGCAGACATTCATCTTGTCTTACTTCAGCTGTTCAGTCCAGTGGGTTGTTACAGCTGCTTAATAATCAGGGAAGCAAGGCCAGTACCTCTGCAAGACACTTCCGTACATCCAGTGCTATTGGACAAATCTGACATTGGGAATATCCTGTCTTCCACTTCTGATGAGTGATTTGGCCTTCAGCTGGGACCAATGTTAAATGAGTTGGATCTCATCTTGAGGGAAGAGGGGCCTTAGAGAGTTGTATGTGTTAGAGCAGGGAACAAACCCAGCTCTCCTGAGCTCAGGCCACTGAGCCATTTTCTCTCTTATTTGTGTAAACCGAGGGGATTTGGGTTTCCAGCATGGTAAACAAGGATTTAACTACTTCCTCCCTCCTCCCAAATAACTTTCCCTGAAATTAACGTGGTAAAGGGAGCCCCTGCTCTCAAAAAAGCCTTTCTGCTGGGTGTTGGTTTTGTAACTGATCCTCTGCTGGAAAACAAACAACTCACATTTCTGCTGAAAACAACCCAAGGGAACATCTAAATAATAACATTACAAGCACTTTTATATCCTGCTCTACTGGGTCTTGTGACAAAAGAGTGGACACCCTCCCATGGATGGGTTTGTAATCCTGTGGGATAAAGAACCTGTGGGACAGCTGGCAGCACACAGCAGCACAGAGTGCCTTGCTCCCATCCAACTTTGTACCCTGCCTGGCTGTCAAGAGTGGACAGAACAGCCTCTGGCTCCTGGGATCAGGAGCCAGAAAGAAGACATGGCCTCATGCTGAGCATGTGTGAAATGCAAATGTGGTGGTGTAGAAAGCAGGAGAGTTGACAGGCTGGACTATTTTCATCCTCACACACCCTATTGTAATAATGGTTTTCAAATAATGACATTTCAGGAAATAATCATCTTGTATTTTTAGTTAACACTCTTTAAGGCTTAATTCTACTGTGGAGGTTTAGAAAACTTTTCTTTCAAAATGAAAATTCTCACATAACTCAAGAATGCAGAAGTGGGTCTAACTGGCCTTTGCAGATTGTCCTTCCTTTCTGTCCCCTAACAAACAGTGCACACAAATAGCCTGATGTATCCATAGAAGCACAGGGGCAGAAAACAAAGATCAAGACAAAGGTGAGGAGGAGGCAGAGTCACAGACAAGAGAAAACCAGGGATTGTGCTATTCCTTTTGCCTGGAGAATAGCAAGAAGCCTGCTGCCTATCACATGGTCTAGGACTATGTCTTGGAACTGTGCCTTCTAAATGTCTTTACTTAAGGTTAGGCCTAAAAGCACAAAGTAGCTTACAGCACTTCCATTCATAGGTCTCAAAGGGTGCAGTGCAGAGAGAAGCAAAAGTAATCCATCCTGAGGAAGGGAAAACAATGGTCCCAAGCATTGTATCACTGAGTAGCCAAGTTGGGAATCCCTCCTGAATCAGTCCTGCCTCTGGACAAAGCTGCTCCTTCCTTGTGTGTACAGCAGGTAAGTTTTTCATAGACTAGGGCTATGTTTTCTTTGGCATGCTGTGCACCTTTCCTTTACAAGGGAGCTGACAATGACAGCATGCAACCAGCCCTTGGGCAGGGCCTCACTGTTGCTGGAGGCAGAGCAGGGCTTGCAAGGTGAGTCTCTTGGTATGGTAGGACAGGAGTTCCAGCCAGGCCAGCTGAGGTGAAAATCCTGCACAAATCCATATGAGACACCCTTGCAGCTCAAGACATCCATCAGCTAATCCTCCCTTTGGCAATCTCCCCACTTACCCCTTCCATCAAAGGAGCTTGGATTACAACGGCTGGTGTCCTAATGAGTGAGAGACTCTGAGGAGGATGGTTTCTCCAGGACAAAAATAAAGTACTTTGCACTGTCTTGGCCATGTTGCCTCTTAAGAGAACCAGGCATTAAAAAACTGTTACTGAGCCTCAGGAGGGAGGTGAGTACTCACCCAGGGTACACACACGAGTTGGGGCCGAGGGAAGCAACATGCCCTGTCTCATGCTGCAAAGCAATCCTGACCTGAACTGGGCACAGAATGTTCATGTCCCACTTTGCAGGTTTTTGAACCGATTGTGAGAGCAAGGCCCTGGCCCTGGCCGTTCACTGTCACTACAGACCTAGTGGTGTTCTTTGGCAGAGGGAAGGTGTTAACTCACGTTTCCTGGCCACACTTCAATTTTTGCTTTCTTAAATTCCTGCCCCACCCAACCAACCGGTTTTGATGATTTCCTGATTCCCCACATTGCTCATTCCTCTTGGTTGTGGAATGGCCCCTCTTTCACCCTGGAGTTCACTGCATTGTGCTGCATAAATGGTCTCCGCTTGTAAGGTTGTCTACTTTGACATTCCCTGCTCTGGAGAAGCACATTTGCAAGATGAGTTTTCCCCATTTTTTCCCAATCCTTAGAAGTGTGGCTGTCACAAGAAGGATGGTGGAGTAGGGTGGTCTCATGTGCTGTCACATGAGCTGATGTGCTTAGAGAGGGATTTCCAGTTTCTCAGTTCTTCTCATTGTTTTTTCCCCTGTAACTATTGGAACAAACTGCCCATGCCCCTCTCATCAAAGAAATGTGAAGTTAGCAAGAGGCCCCAAATACATTTCCTGGCAACAAGACAAAAGTACGTCTACTGAGAAGTTTATGCAAAGAGAATATTTCTGGTATATACAGTTGTGTCTTGTTCTCAGATGCCCACACCAAAGCAATTACCATATGGGAGATGCTGACTGGCTGGAAGAACCTGTTCATTCTGGGTCTGTAATGGAGTCTGTGAGGAGCTCAGCTTCCTGGTATGGAAGAAGGTAAGTGTGTGTGAGGAAGGGAGGCTGGGCTGTGTTTATTTGGGAGGGCAACCTTTCTGGGCTGGGAGCCTACTTTTTAATTTATTTGGTGGTCCAGGAAAATTCATCACATCACATTCTTCAGCTCCTATTTCCACTGAGGTGGTTACATCACCCCAGAGCCTTAGCTGACTTACAGGGATGCAGCTATATAAAGTGCAGGCTGGCTGTCTCATGTTGGCAGAAATGTGGTTTGTCCCTAAGACAAACAGAGTTGCACAGAAGAGGTAAAAGTTTGTGTCCAGCCAGGGAAACACAGATTCAAAGCCAACTCCGAACTTAGAGCCAGCTCACAGTTGGTTTTTCCCATGTCTGCTTTTACCCCACTCATGGGCTCCTCACAGCAGATCCAGAGACACATTGTGGCCTCTATGTCCCTGCAAGCACAATGGTGGCAGTTTTTGAGAGACGTGCTCAGAAGCAGTACCAGGGTTTTCCAATGATAACTCCAATGGTCTAAGAAACATTTTGATGGTCTGGAGTTGGAGGGAATCTTGACTTCAGCACTGTATTTCACAAAACAAGAGTGAGGGATCAAGGCCTGCAGGAGTTGGGGCAAAAACTGAGACACAGGGTTGTGAAAAGTGCTGAGGCCTGAGGAGGGTAGAAAGGGGGAGCCCTAGAGGGGGAAATTCCATGGTAAAGAATCAGTGGCTCTCCCACTCACATGCTCTCTTTTTGGTATCATCTCACATGCCAGTGTGAATACAGAACACTTGGTGTTCTTGGGTCACAAGCCCTTGCTCTGGCATGCCTGGGTTCAGACTCTCAGTGTGCAAAGGGATATTGGTGTATTTACTCCTGGAGTCTCACAGCACCTCTGAGAGGTGTCCAAGTGTTTCACCACCATTTCACTCAGGGCAGTGGAAAAGCAGTGCAGGGAATTGCCTTTCACAGCAGAGAGTGCAGCAGTGTCAAAGGAGAACACTTGGGGCTGCCTGGTGCTCATCTCACTGTGTTCTCCTCCAGATCCTGCTGCTTCCTCTGCAGAATGCTGCATCTGCTTCTGTCTCATGTTTCTAGTCTGTCTTTACACCAAAATCTTAACAGCAGTGTAAACTGGCATAATTGGTTTTGATAAAATGCACCTCCAAGCTCCTGCAGGCATGGATTCTATTTCCAAAAGTTGAACTGCTCCTCCTGCCTTGCAAATCAACCATACTCTCAGAGAGTTCATAAATCCATGCGTGCTCTTTAAAAGAAGAAATCAGGAGGATTTTTTAGACATTTTTAGGCAAAAGTTCTCTATTTTTCCTTTTTTTTTTTTCCCATGCAGCCTCCTTGGTAACCAGTTAAAACAAATTCCTCCAGACTGTAAACTAGAGATAATGGAGTTCGCCTTTAATCTCAGTCCGCTGCAGATCAAGTTACCTCTTAGAAATTACTTATCCTGGCCAAGCAAATGAATTGGAATTGATGTTCTTAATTGTTTTCTAAATTGCTGTTCCCCACTCCCTTCCTCCCCTTCTCTCCACACAGCTGGTTTACATCAGAGTCTAGTCTAATGGGTACTGTCACTCACACAGGGGGTGAAGTCATGTGGTCATAAAAGAGAAAGATTGGGGGAAGAGAGGGAAATACCACCCAGTGCATTATCTGGCTGTGACACACACAAACTGAATAGAAATAATTCCTCCTAGGGGGCTAGTCCCAACAATGGACACAGTTCTGTCTTGGGCTAGAAAAATGTCGAGACTCACTCTGCTCTCTGATACTTGTTTCTCTCTCACAGAGAGGGGAGATGGTTCAAGTGCTAGTTTGGGACACAGGAAACCTGAGTTGAAACTGCTGATTCTGCAGCAACCTCCTTTGTCTGGTTTTCTGCAAGTTGTTTTGTTTATGCCTCAGTGGCTGCATTTGTAATAATAATAATACAATTCCCTTCCTTTCTCCTCAGGGCACCAATGGTGTTTCATTAGCTGTATCTTACAAAACAGCTTAACCTGCTCTGCATCTCCAAAAAGTGCCTCAGTACTCCTTGTATTCACATATATTAGTCTCCAGCTCACTCAGAACTTTCATTGCAAAGTCTTTGGACTCTGGGAACATCAGACCAGGACTAACACCAGAATCCCATCCCTCCACATCCTCTAAAGTGGGCACAGATCTCAAGTCTTAAGTAGGACCCATCCCCTGAAGAACTTTTGCTCATATAAAAATCATTCCTGCATGTGAAATGTGTGCAAACAAGCTGTTCTGCCAACTTCCTTGTCCTGCCACTGTGATCCTTTCCAGCCTATAAATGACCAATAATCCCAGTTTTGCTGCCAGCAGTTTTCCAGAACGCAGCTGTTCCCCTATAGACCTTATAATTCCATGGACTGGCAACTGTTTTTGGCTCATCAGTCCATTCAGAGTAGAACCTACAAGAGCAGAGGTTATCATCTTCTTAACCTCTCCCAGAAGGTCTTTCTTGACAAACAACAGTCTGTCACTCTCATTACAATGTCGAGTCAGTTTTCTGAGGGAGACCAGGGATTCAGAGAATTTGCTGCTCACATGAAATTCTAAAGTGCATGCTGGAAGAGCAGCAGACTCTTGGATACCTGTTTGTAATATCTGAGAACACTGTGTAGAATAAGTCCAAGAAAAAATGGCAGGAAAGGAGGAGTTTCATACAGAATGAGTTAAAAAATCATGCTAACTGATGGTAATGGTGAGGAAAGCTGACTGTTACAAGGGTGGGGATTTTTTTCCCTCCTTTTCAGTAAGGAAAATATAGATTGCTTGGGTTCATAGCAGCACTGCACACAACTATCAGGTACTAGACTATTGTTGACACTAGAAAAAATCACATGCCTTTATTCTGCACATGCTGGCCTGTGGGAGCTGCATGTTTAGTATTCTTCACAACTGGAAAGAGACTCTGACACTGGCTGGCCTGTCCTTACAGTCACAGCCACGCTGTTTAAGCAGCCTTGTTTCTCAGGAGGTGTAATGCAAATAGTTCTGGTGATCCATATTAACATCACAGTGCAAATCTACCTGTGACAAACCTCAGTCACATGACCAGGAGGTGTCCTGCTGTGGTTATGGTGTTAGAATCCAGAGGGGATGGATTTTGCTTTGCTTTGCTGTCCTGTAATTAGTCATCTCTGAAACAGGCAGGGCCAAGAGCTGGTGACTGTCCTGGGAGGGAGAGAATGAAGGTGCAGGTGTTGGGTGTTGTCAGTGAGGTTTTCAGAAGTGTGAGTGTGAGTGAGGAGCACAACTTCCAAGTTGTGTGAATCAGGTATACCTAATCAATTGTCTAAGTCTGGGATTCATTCAGCTTTCCAACAGCCTAAGTGTCCAGTTCAAAGCTGGTTTTCAGAGATGTCTCAGAGCTCAGGGTAGCGAGACATGAGGCTGATACATCCTGTCCATCGCAGGCACTACTCTGGAAGGTCCTTTGCCTCTATCACCAGTCACAGGAGTTGTCCCTTATCTGGTTCTGTCAAAGTAATCCAAAAGAGCAGATGTGGTATTGGAAGTGACTGAGTATGACTGTGGCTCACAGGAGAATCACCTCTAGGAAGGGGTGGCCACAAAAAGGTGTTGGTAGGCAGTTCTTTCATGTGTGGGCACTATTTTGCAGTCTGGGAGGGAAAGCAGGCAAAAGGTGTTTAAAGAAATGCTCAGGAAGGAACTGACCTCATCACAGCTTCCTTTTGTCATGGGAGGATTTTTCTAGCTCTTGGACCTACAAGCTGAGAGCTCCTGTAATTTGCAGTAAGGAGCAATCTGCAACCAGCATTTTGCTGAAGAGGTGCCAGGAAGAAAGGAACCCAATGTGCTTTTTCCGTAGCAGTGTGTGCTAATAGCAGGAAGGAGAAAAAACTCATTTATGCCAATGAAGCAAACAGATGTGACCCTTAGATGGTGCTACCCTTGCTGACATGAGGTACTTGCTGACTCCTTGAATAGGCCCATTCAAATCAATGTAACTGCTCTTGGAGTGAGGCTCTGCTCAGTGTTAATGAAGATGTCAGAATCTGGCCCACAGGGAATAAATGTGTTGGGCAAGAAGGGGCTCTTTATAACCTCCTTCCTAGAACATGTTTGGAGGCCTAAATTTGCAGCTGGTTCCTATCTCAAAACCAGGCCAAAACAAGCCCCCCCCCCCCCCCCCCCCGAAAATGCAAGCGTGCCCAGCCTTTTGGAAGTTCAGCTCCAGACCCAAAAGTAGGCCTGATCCAAGGTTGATAGACTCCCACTGACCTAAACAGACATTTGGCTTCAGTCTCCACGACTTGGGCCCATCCTGACACAAACGAATACACCACACACCAACACTACTGGCGTGTCTGGGCCCATGTCTGTATAAATATGATCCCTTTCCCCTTTTTTTCCTCTTGCTCTAACATTTTTTTAGGGAAGGAATTGGTCTCAGGGAGGCATAAACTCCCTTCTTTTCCATCCCTGATTGAGTATCAAACTCCTCCGCTGAGATTTCTCCACGGAGACATTGGGTTTTCCTGGCAGGCAGGGTTGCAAACTACTCAGCGGAATGTCTACAGCTCTGCAGCTCAAGAGGAGCCAGGAGGCTGGGCATCCCAGCCAAGGGAAATACTGCTGTCGTCCCAAGAACACTTTCATGGAGACTGAGGTGCATACTGGATTAGAGGCGGCTAAGCTGGGTTCTTGTGTTTTTCTGTTGGTTTCCTTTTTCCCCTCGAAAATGTAAAGCACGGGGAAGAGAAATCCACAGACGAGAAATCTGGGGATCCTTGTGGATGTTGAAAAATGTGGTTTCTTAGTGGATCTTTTTACTTCTGGTACTTCTGGCTTGTTCAACACATACACACACAAACACACATACAGAGAATAACTTGGCAAGCTCGTGTTTTCGTGGCACAGCACCAGGAAATGGGAGTTCCCCTCCCAACAGAGAAGATCAGGGCAATGAGGCAAAGGTGGGGAATCAGACCCAGCCTGAGTCTCAGTGGAGCGCTGGCCTGGACAACTCTTACACAAATAAT